ATATATGTGTTTGTTTTTCGCCCCCCGTCTTGCTGCACCCCCTGGGGTGTGGTGCAGGGCGGGGGATGCCTGGTCGGCGGGAACCCGGCACGGAACCCTCCGGCGTTGTAGGCGGGTGTGGGAAGCGTTCCCCGTTCTCCTTTTATTTTATTTTGATCGGTCTCCTCGACGCTCTTTCTCGTTTGGTGCGGTAGCTGGTCTTTCTTTCTATCATTTTGTGTCTCTTCCGAGTGGTTTTTGTACCCTATTTTTTTCTGTTTCTTCGTGGGGTCGTGTATGCCGGGTTTTGAGATCACGGGCTCCCAATCTTTTTTTTTTTTTAGAGCTAATGTGAGAAACAACAACAACAACAGTGCACAGCAGCGGGCAGCAGGTGAGGCGACCATCACATCAAGTATTCCTGCCCACAGTTTTACACACACCCAGTGGGATGCGAACACCGCCGTCTCACTGGTGGGGTACATTATNACAACAACAACAACAGTGCACAGCAGCGGGCAGCAGGTGAGGCGACCATCACATCAAGTATTCCTGCCCACAGTTTTACACACACCCAGTGGGATGCGAACACCGCCGTCTCACTGGTGGGGCACAATATAGCCTTGCTTCCCCCCCCAGCGGTATGTCGTCACACAAGACTTCAGTCGGCACAGGACATCTCAACTGTGATTTTTCGCTGTAGGGCTACCGTCCACCGTATGACCCATCGTTCGCCCAAACGACGTAGCCCGAAGGGTTCCGTTCAGGCGGTAAAACCGCCGGTGGGGTAATCTACGGATGTGCTCCTGCAGGGGGGGGCGGGGGGGGATGTCTAATACCCCACCATGGACCTCGCACCTCTGTACACGGCTCTGATGGCCGCACAAAAACCGCGGTAGAAGTGTAAAAGATGATGAACGTACAACACACAGCACGCAGCAGCACTGCACCCCTGCTGTGATCGCTATGTCTATACATTGTACCGTGCCCAAATGTAACGTTCATCACATCAGGGATTGATGACTCATTCGTTTGGTCTCGCTCTTCAAAAAAAAAACAACGAAGAAAAAACAAAGACAACGCAAACACTCGCAAACGATCGCAAACAATCCCAAACATTTTGAGACATAGGTGATGAACGTATGTTCGCCGCCACGAACGTGTTGCCTCCCGGTCGTCAATGCGACGTGAAAGTCAGACTAAGGTACACACCGTTTTTCATACCGGCCGTTTCCATACCGTCTGCCTGAACACAGACGCTCGAACATGTCCTCACGCAACCGTGGACAGCGATGAAAAAAGCAAAAGACGGAAAATAACTGGTCAGGTAAACACGTGTGGAAGCGACGGGACAAGGGTAGCTGGTTAGGTGCTGGTATCAGCACCTTTCAGCTTTCTCCTCTTGTTCGTCCTTGGCACGTCGCTGAAGTCCCTCATCCTCCTAGTCTGACGGGATTTTCCTTGCTGGCCCGCAGGGTTGCCAGCTGCTCCCTCTTTGCCGTCCTTCTCAGGTCTCCCTTTCGTGGGTGCTTGCCCAGGATTCTTGGGTCCTCCTGTGTCTCCCGCGGTCTCCTTCAGAAGATACCCGAGGAAATTGTCAACCTTGACCTGGACGGACAGTGCTTGGTGAAGGGGTACGGACCTTATAATATCTCCTACGTTCTCCTTGCCCTTCGCCATGAGATGGGCGTAGACGCGACGTTTGTCGCCAGCGCTTCTATCCTGCGCGGCCCGCACCGCACGTTCAGCGGGGTGTGCGCCATCGAACGATTCATCGCATGTCGGTCCCCAGCAGTGGGCATCGCATCCTTGGCGATGCCCGTCCCATCCTTCGCCGTGGCCTGACGACGACAGCACTAATGAGACGCTCCATGGCAAAACCTTTCCGTCGTCTGATTGACGCCAACGGTTGTGGAAACACGCACCGTCGAAGGCATGCGTAAAGCTCAACTCGTCCTCCCCGCCAGTTCTCCCGATGAGGTTGACAAGAACCGCGAAGTAGTGCCTGCAAGGCAGTCCGCTCCGCAAAAGCTGTAAACAGGAACACAAATGGACGTTGTGAGGCCCGAATGCGACGAGGTGGCTAGGATTGTTCGCCGAATACTTGCATCGAACGGCCGCGACCAGTTCGATAGGGAAGCCGGCGATCAATCCAAGAAAGCTGGCAGCGATCTACGAGCCCACATGGTGTTGTCCTCTGCAGGTTCGTCAGCTAACGAGTCTCTCTCCAGATCGGTATCAGGTGGTGCGACCTGGAGAATGTTGAGCTTGAGGCGCAAATTGCGTATCTGGACAAAGTCGTCGTCGTGTAGAGGAAGCGGTTGTCCGTCTTCGTCCACATTTCCGGAAGTCACCAGTTCGACGTCATACGACTCCGATCCGTCGACCTGAGCTCTGAATTCCGGCGTTTATTTGGGTTTAGATTGGGCTTTGACGATGTCTGTTTGTGGTCAAGCTCGAGAAGTCACGGGCACACAATTGTCCGAAATCAAGAGCATCGATTCAGCTTCTTATGTACAAATACATGCCCCAACACGCCTTACTTTCTGGCAGTACTGGCTGGCACCACAGGCCAAAAGCTCTTGCTTCACTGGCTGGAAGAATTCTTCGACGTGCTTGTCCCGGAACGCCACCCCAGGGGTGATTGGGGGGGTCTCTAACCTGCATGCATCGGAGTGCTGGATGAAATAAGGTGTATGATACGTAGCGACGGGAGAGGTTCATGTATAACGTCAACTACCATCATTATCCTTGAGCGTCTAGCTAATTTACCCACTAGGGATCCCCTCGCACGCGAAGCCTCTAGGGATCGGTAACATACAAAGTCACCTCGCACCTCGCTGTCTCGATGGCAATCATCTTGCTCAGGTGTTGCAGGCGATCCCAAAGAGCGCACAGTGAAAGCTTCTTCTCGACACCCGAGCGCTTCGCCACTCCGAATAAACCTTCCGTGCGCTGAGTGGCAACCATGCCTAGCGTGAGGACAGTGGGCCGGCAGCAGAACGTCCACTTCGTCTTGTTTCTGCGCACATCAACGGCGCCGACAATATAGCGAATTGGCGAATTTTGAGCGTAGAGACGTGGCCATCATACTTCAACGCATCACATCAACCGAATGCAGGCATGTCCCCCAACTAAACAGCTGGAACATACTCACGTTATCAAGTCGGTCATGTAACCTTCGCACTTCTTCCCGGCCACCAGGGTTTCCATCCGAGCCGCTTGCGTCGCGAACGCCTGCCGCCAAACCCAAATGGATGAAACACTCCGAGTCCTTACCCTTGTGTGGGCGCGCGTCAGCCTGTGCATGACATCCTCCTCCTCGTCCTCCGTCATTTCTTTCCGCTCTAGACCAAGCACCGCGTCTGCTAGCTTCCCCTTTGAAGCCGTGGCCGCCTCCTTCGTTTTCGCCTCAACGTCCTGAATCTCGTTATAGCGCGGTCCTTCGCGACGAGGGTGCTGTCATCCGAAAAAGTCACGAAGTTGTTTAGCTCGGGAAGGTTGTTTCTCACGTACTCTAGGTATCCATTCGCATTCTCGAAGGGCGGGTTGTAGCTGGAGCTGTAACACATGGTCATGGCCACGTGGAGCGCAAGGCCTGCGCGCCGTTTCCCACAACGGCAGAAACAGCGTGTGCTTTCACGGCCCTCCGTGAGCATCATTCAGGGAGTTGACTGCAACAGTCCGGGCGCGAGAGGAGGCGGCCACAAAATGAATCCCAAACAAGACATGACGGAAGTGTCGTGAGCGTGTCACCCACCCGTTTTCCCGTTTTCCCGTTTTCCGTTTTCCTTTCGTTTTCCTTTCGGGTATTGCGGCGCCCATCCAATTCGTACATGAAAACTGGGCGGGTCATCGGCAGGCACCCAAAGAACTAACAACGATCCTACTACCGGGACAATTACACTGCGTGTTGCTGCGTGTTGCGGCGAGGCGATGAGCTGATGTGTCGGATGGACTTGCTGCGATATCAAACCGGTGATACAAACTAGAATGCATCTACCGTAGTCCTCCACCAGACACACTCACATGGCAGAAACACTCGCAGGGGAGATTGAACGACTGTGGCGAGTATTGGAAAGACAAACTGTTGGAGCCATACCCCAGGCTTTGCTATGCTCCGTAGCTGCGCAAGGAACATCAGCCGCGCGCATTTTGACGACCCGACGTGCCAGTTGTTGCCGCGGTCGGGTGCCACATCCCACCCGTTCTTCCCAAGCCTTTCCCGTACATCTGACGTGTAGTTGTACCATGCCCCTAAATGTTCGTCCTGCTCCAGTAGGAATAGCTCCATGTATTTCAGCCCGTACAGCACGACGCTGACTCGAAGCTTCACCGCCATTGTCTTCACAGCACTTCTGACCCCTCGACCTCCGTCTTTGGCAAAGAATGCCGCCACAGAATTCAACAAGCAGTCGCCGTTGCCGTCGCTCTCGAACGGAGTGCCCACGCCCCCACCATCTTCGGGTTCGATTCCGTTGAGGAGAGTCGCGGGTGAACTTGTCCTTAAACAGGCCCTTGGCCAGAAGCTCCTCTGCGGTCTGGACGGGAATCAAGGAGGATGCATTTACGGCGATAAACATAAATTTCACGGATCGGCAACGCTGAGAAACATGATGGCTATGAAACTGATGGTGGAACCGGGTTTCTATGAAACGGAGAACGTACATTATACATAGAAGTGATCACGTACGGAACACGAATGGCACAACAGGGCGAAAACAGCTCTCTCTATTCAGTACATGGGATCGACTATGCTGCTACGGGCAGGTCACACATTAATCCTTCCAATACGAGGCTGCTACCCCACCTCCCATACAACAACATCGTGACGGAACATGTCAGAACATGTTTCGAACGTGTTTCGTACACTCCGTTCGGAAAAAAAAAAAATATTGTGAGCAGTCTGTTTTGTTGATAAGAGAGCATGGAGCGTCAATGATTGTGGACCCGACCTTACGCACACACCTGGCACGCATCTGGTAGCAGTTCGCCGTCAATGGGATCTTCCCGCTTGAAGACCCACTCCATCACCTTCCGCAGCTTCTCATCTCCGACGGGTATACCGCTCGTGTCAGGCGAAGACGGGTGGAGGACAAAGTCTAGCATCCCACGGACCTTTGCCAACGCTTGAAGCTGAGAGCTCGACATGGATCTTGCCGGTACTATGCGCTGTAGATACGCTGGCGTATTGAATGGGCCCGGATTCGGTGCTGATACGCTGGCGTATTGGTCCAACAGAAAGACCACAGCGACCGCAGGTCCGCAGGTCTGCAGGTTTCCACACTATTTTTCCGATTTGTTTGCCGGCAAGGCGGCGGGGATCCTGTGCTAGGTCCCCCCCCCCCTTGTGCCGTGTCTCTCGGTTGCTGTGCTGCAGTGGTGTAGTGCAGCTGTGTGCTGTGTGTTGTGCGTGCATCATCTTGTCACTTCTACTGCGGTTCTTGTGTGGCCATCGGAACCTTGTACAGAGGTACAAGGTCCATGGTGAGGAATATTACCGAAAATCAGGAAAAAAACGAGAAAAATTGACAACACAGATCAGATATAAATGTTTGTCCGTGCGCCATGGGTCGATGTCGCCCGCATGCTCCGGTGCCGCTGCTCCGTCCGGCGCCGCTGTAGTCAGCCCGAGCATAACGCCACTCGACCTGCTCCGTCCGTACACGCTCTCGTTGCTGTCCTTCCCAGTCGGTTCCTCGCTTTCTCCCTCCTTGCACTCAAGGTTCTTGGTCTGAAAAATAAAAATTCTCGCGCCGAAGGGGTCAACCAGCCCAGTTCAGCTCGTCGCCACCTGCTCCCTCCTCCTTTGATGGCGAAGCCAGGTTACTGAGGCAATGCAGCGCCCTCTAGCCAACCTAGGGCCGTGTACATAGTTCCCGTCCACCTTCTGACGGTGTCTGCCTCCGCGCACAAAAAATGAGATGGGCATCGCTGCCTACGCCGACGGCCAGAGGCCCGCGCATCTACATTTTTTCGCCTGACCCCATCAGTGCCGACCCAACTACACCACCACGCGCATGCCTCGCGGCGGATATGCGCAGCAGCAAGAAGGTTTCGGTCATCCCTTGAGGGTGAGTCTAGCCCTGCTCGCCAGAAAGACCCCCCCCTTCACTACAACCCATGTCTAAGCAAAAGCTTGTCGAGGAGCGAGGGGAAGAAGGGAGAAGAGATTGTGGGTAGGAATGCTTTTTATGTGCTGGTCGCCCCACCTGCTGCCCGTTGCTGTGTTCTGTACGTGCACGTTCCAGACGCTCGTACCGGTGTTTGTGTGTCGACGGAAGCATTGAAGGGCTACATACAGCAGTGGGATCGTGTAGCTGAACGAAGTCTGCCTCAAGAAGAGAAGAAGGCAGCGTTCGGTTCCCATTGGGTGCGTGTAAAACTGTGGGCAGGAATACTTGATGTGCTGGTCGC